AAAAAAAAAAAAAAAAAAAAAAAAAGAAATGGAGGACTACCAGGTTGTTTCAAATAATCCTAAAATTTTGGAAATGTTTTTCCTTAACTTTTTACAAAATCACTTTGATTTTTATATTGGGCAGCTAGGTGGATGGTGTTGATATAGCAATGTGAAGGTAGAAGAACATCAAATGTGCCAGTATTTAAAAAAAAAAAGAAACAATAACAGGGAATACTTATTTTAGGTAAATCAGCTTTTAGAACAAATTATCATGTTTACTGACTGGCTTTCTTTGGCTAATTCTTGCCAGCCAAGTTACCTACAGTATGATTTCGACTGCTCCTTTGTCACAACTACTCCTGGCCAGGTGCTGAATTCTGATGGCATGTTGTATTGAGTTTAACATTTTTCGTCAAGCAGTCTGAATCATTTGTTTGCTAGTTTCGCTGTTCTGCAGCCAGTCCGCTGTGCCCAGGGAGCCTATGGCTCATGGTGAAAACTTGTAGGCAGGGATTGAGTTCTACCCTGAGCTGAGATTCCTGGGACTCCATGAGGATGAAAGGATGCCATGTTTTCAGGATCTGTGGAGGTGAGCGCATAATTCTTAATTAAGGGTGTCTTCAATGTTTTTATTCTAGAAATGTTTACAGTCTCTTTTTTCCAGGAATAAAGACATAGGGATCACTGTAGTATGTTTGAAACACTGGCTCATATAAGCTTTTACTGTTTCCTTTCCTTATGCCTTTCGTATTTTTGCTAAGCCACATGTTATGCTTGTCTTTATGTTGTAATGTTTACTGCTGAGCTGGTCCAAGTCACCATTTACTTAAGAGACAAGTAGATCTTTTGTTTAATCACCTTTCTGGAGTGTGATTATTTGACATATTATTTGTATGCATATACACAGGAGACATGCATGGAATTCTTGGGAAAAGTTAATGTTGGGAAAAGTAGATCATTTCCATGTGAAATAATCTACTTTATTATGGTAGTGAAGTGGAGGTGTCTTTATTTCTCCACTTGACTGTATTTTTTAAATTTAGATTGAGAAGAAAGATAAGGGGAAAAACCCACTAGTTCTGTTGTTGTTCGTATGTGATTTGCAATTGTATGGTAAGATTTTTAAGTTATTTGTATAGATTTTTAATACGTTTTCTCATTTCTCTTTCAGGCTTCAAGAGTGGCACATCCTTGGTATGTGTTGAGTAAACCAACTTTAACATGAAACTCATACCTGCGGTTACCAATTTTACACATTTTTCTCTGTGAAGGCAAACCATGTTTAACAATTGGATAAAACAATTTGAAAACTCAATTGTGTTTATTATTGTAATGATTCCCTGCTAGTTCTAATGATTATGTTTTTAAATTTGACTGAAAATAACTTTTGTACTGCATTTTGAAATAGGCTTTATCTAAGTTAAGTACTGTAAATGTCCAATTTATCTACAGGAGTTTCTACATTTGTAAGCAATATCTCCAACTTTTTGGTTTCCTAAAATAGGACATTTGGCATTGTAATAATGACTGTGAAAATGTTATGTAATTTTTTTTACCTTACAAAGCAAATCAACTATTATCTGTATAAGTTAGTTAATAAAGTCCCAGTCGGTTTAATCATGGGTCTGTTTGATTCTTTTCTATTTGTAATGACATAAATATCATCGACATAGTTAAACTGGACCATCGTTAAACACCATTGTCTATTTTATGGTACTTATTATTTTTTTGTGTTGTTCTGAAGAAATCTTTTAAAATATCATCATTGAAAGAACGATTGATAAGCATTAAAATATTTTATTTGAATTTCCCTCTTCTCTATTAATCTCTTTGTAATGTGAAAGAGGCTTTATTGGGCTCTGGAATTATAAGAGGAATGAATGCAATTGAAAATATGAAATAACGTGTGATTAATTCTCAAAATGGATAACATATTCTCTGAGTAAATAGAATCTGATTGTTGCTCATTTTGTCTCACTGGCATGAGGACTTGATATTTGTCTCTGGTTTGAAGAGAATGAGTGAGAGAAAACTTACATTACCACGTATACAAGATATCAAGTCTTATTTCAAGGCTTGGTATAATGAAAACAGACTTTTACTTTAAACCCATAAATTATGCTCTTCATAATTACAGGGACCAGAAACAATTATGCATACTTTTCATTAACAATCTTTGATATCTAAGGGGTACTCATATGAATTTCTTGAATTAGTCTAAATATACTCTTCATTGCAAAGCATGAAAAATACAGAATTAACAAAAGTGTTGTTCATGACCAGGAATATTTATTTTAAGATTTATGATCCACATAAACTGCTATTTTAGCAGATGAAATTAGAATATTTTACATTCATTCTACATTCAGTGAATCTAGAAACAAGTACATTTTTATATAAGACAGAGTACATACTTTGGAATTAGATCATTTCATTCTAAATTTCCCTTCTCTTGTGTCTTAAGAAATATCTTCAAAATGTTTGAGTATGTTTACCATGATGAATACTAGGCAAATGTTTGATGCTCTGAAAATTAATGCTAGAAAATCATTTTATGTTTTCGATGTGTTTAAAGGATGCTGAAAAGATGGAGATAAAGCATTTGCAAATATTTATTTGGCAATTTATAGCAATATGCATTTTTATTTTTGACAACCAGGGTTACCTAATACCTAGGTAATTGATTGCCAATAGTTCTAGGTACTTAATGGTTTATGAAAGTGATTTATGTATTTTTTGAATCCTGAAATAAATGAAATATTTTTGCGATCATGACATGCTTGACCTTTTTGTAAAAAAATTTAAAATATTTCTATGCTATGTGTTTTATCTTTAAGTTTTAAAATTGTCACAAATCTCCAAAAATTTTCCAATATGTTTTTTGAAAAAAATTCACATATAAGTGGAACTGCACAGTTTAAACCTGTGCTATTTAAGGGTCAACTGTATGCATTTCTTGAGTTTTCATTAATAAATTAAGAAATAAATATATCTAGTTAAGTCATAGTTAACTGTTTTATTCTCTGTTTTGATTTTGGTTCCTGAAATTATTGTGGCTTCGAAATGCTTTTGACATAGGTATGTCCACTTTTGGAGTTGTAGGAAAATAAAACATAATATATATGTTAACAAAAGATTATATTACTCCCTAGTGGGATAGTACTTATAAATACATTCTAGAAGTCATGTGCTACATTAATGGTTCAGAGGAAATTAGAATATGTAATTTATATTAATAATTTTATTAGAAGAGGGATAGGTTTTTTAAAAGAAATTTTTTCCCACTGAGGTGGTATAATGTCTAATCTGGGAAACTAACGTGAAAATTAAGTCATGGCAATGGAGTCTTAAGATGATCATTGGTTCTAAACAACATGAATAACTACTTTATCATGACAGAATTTCCTTCCTTTATGCTGTCTACATAAGAAAAAGGCACTTAATTGATGAATTTAGGTAACACATGAAGAACTTCTGAACAAAATATTTTAAAAACGAAATGACTGGTTATACAAAAAAGGATATTCCACCAGAGAGCTTTAGAATTGTTGCAGATTCTTATTGAGGCATATAGTTAGGTCCTAATGTTTTCTGTGCAATTATAGAATGCAGCATAGTATCATGTGGTGTAAGATGGAACATTTAAGAAATGTTTAGTTTAGAAAGTCCACTCAAGAAACATACTGTACAAAAGTATAAAGTTGACCCTTGAACAACATGGGTTTTAACTGTTTGGGTTCACTTATATGTGGATTTTTTTTTCAGTAAATATATTGGAAATTTTGTTTGGAGATCTGTGACAGTTTAAAAAACTTGCATATGAACCATGTAGTCTAGAAATATTTTTAAAATTAAGAAAGAGGTATGTTATGAGTGTAAAAAATATATGTAAATATTAATCTATTTTGTCCTTTGCTACTATAGAATATGCACGTCTATTTAACTAAAAACTTAAAATTTATTAAAACCCATATATACAAACATTTACAGAGCCTACATCACACCATTCACAGTTTGAGAGAAATGCAAACGTAAAGATGCAGTATTAAATCATAATTGCATTAACGAACTGTAGTAAATATACTACTGTAATAATTCCATAACCACCTCCTTAAAACTCTGTGTGATGCTGTTCGTGTTTATGTGAGCAGTTTGTCTCTACAGTAAATTGCATATTGCAGTAAAAAGTGGTCTTGTGGTTCCTGTGTATTTTCATTGTGTTTAGTGCAATACTGTAAGCCATGAATAACACCATGAGACTGATACAAAGTGCCACTAGTGATGCTGGAAGTGCTCCCAAGAAGCAGAAAAAAGTCATGACATGATAATAACAAGTTTTATTACTTTATGTGTATCATGAATTGAGGTCTACAGCTGTGGTTGCTGCCATTTCAAGAAGAGTGAATCCAATTAAGGACCATTGTAAAGGAAAAAAAGGAAACTCATGAAGCTGTTGCTGCAGTTATACCAGCAGGTGTCATCAAAAGATGTGTACTTTTGCTAAATACATTTTTATCTCATATTAAAAATGCAGCCATGGATGCAGTTTTGCTATAAGAAAGGCATACCTATAGATGCTAGTATGATTTGAGAAAAAGTGAAATCATTACATGACAACTTAAAGCGAAATGAAGGTGAAATATCTAAAGCTGGATAAATGAATGCCAGAAAAGGATGGTTTGACAATTTTAGAAAGAAGTTTGGCTTAAAAGATGTCCAAGATAACAGGAGAAACAGCATCTGGTGACCAAGAAGCAGCAGACACATTTCCAGATGCCATTAAAATCATTGAGGAGAAAAGATAGCTGCCTACGTAGATTTTTAATGCAGACAAAAGTTCTCTATTCTGGAAAAAAGAAATTCAACAAAGAATATTTATTAGTAAGGAAGAGAAGAGAGCACCAGGATTTAAGGCAGGGAAGAACAGGCTAACTTTACTGTTTTGTACAAATGCAGCTGGCTTTATGACCAGGACTATCCTTATCTATAAATCTGCTAATCCCTGAGCCTTGAAGGGAGAAGATCAACACCAGCTGCTAGTCTTTTGATTGTACACCAAGAAGGCATAGACAATGACAACCCTTATCTGGATTAGTGCCATAGATGCTTTGTCCCTGAAGTCACGAAGTACCTCCAGTCAAGGACTGCCTTTTAAAGTTCTCTTGATCTTGGACAATGCCTCTGGCCACCGAGAGCCCAATAAGTTCATCATCAAAGGTGTTAAAGCAATCTACTTGCCCCAGACACAACATCTTTAATTCAGTCTCCAGATCAGGAGGTCATAGGACTTTTAAGGCTAGTTACGCACAGTACTCTGTGAAAAGAAATGACATACTATGGAAAAGAATCCTGAAAGGACATGATGAAAGTCTGGAAGAATTACACCATTGAAAATGCCATCATTGTTACAGAAGAAGCCATAAAAGCCACCAAGCCTGAAACAATAAATTCCTGCTGGAGAAAACTGTATCCAAATGTCGTACATGACTTTGACAGAGCCAATCAAGGATATCACAAAAGAGACTGTGGATATCGCAAGAAATGGTGAGGGGTGAAGGGTTTCAAGATGTGGATCTTGGGAAATTTTAA